AAAATCATGTTGCATGTGACTCTTGGGTTTCATTGTACACGAAACATGATTTTGTCAATCTCTTCGAATCATTTGTTCGTATCCATAAATGTATTATATACCAATTGGTGGATCATGTATACGTAGTTCTTAATTTATAAGATTCGTGAGCTATGGTTTTTGAATTTTTTTTGAAAAATGCATTAATTATCTTAGATTAGTAGCTTATAATGGATCTTATAGATTATGAAGTTTTCAAATKATCAAACACACAAATATGTTATACGTGTGTGTAGGCTTAATTATTTGAAAACTTTAAAATTTGTGAGATCTATGAGAACTTCTATGCCTTAAGGTTTTGTTACCATTTAAGTGTAGTATTCTATGTATTAATTAACATATATCTATACTATCTTATTAAGCAAATTTAGCAAAAGTCTTAAAATACTAAATGACCAAGATACTCTTTAGTCACTTTTTCACCCCCTCCTCTCCTCACATACACTCACCCTCTCATACCCGATTTTTTTTTATTTATTATAATTTTAAATTTACACTTTATACCCCTATAATTAGTTAATTAATTTATTTTACGTATTTTACTTTTAAATATTTCATTTTAAACATTTATCAAATTAACATACATAATCATATATCAATTAAAACATGTTTAAAAAATACATTTTTATTTTAACAAGTTAYACCATTATAATCGTCTCATTAATACCTTTGAAATGAGTCTAATATTGAATAGTTTTTGACTTAATTATATTATTATATATTATATATACTGTAAAAAATATTTTTTATATTTACGATTTATACTTTTATAGTTATTTATTTATATATATACTATATATTTTGGGGTTAGGCTGTCCAAATGGCTCTGTATAATATGTTCATGGGTTTTTTTGAAATATATATATACATGTATTAATTCAATCTTAATCTAAGTTTCTGGACAAGAAAGAGGGTAAGTAGTTGAAATTTCATTCTAAAATCCATCTTTTTTGGTCTTTTCATGACTTATGATCTATCAAATTTGTAATTTTTCTTTATTGATTTTGAGTGTTTATCTTAAAACTCAAGTTTCTTGGTTCTTTACTCTTGGTGTAAATCGAACACATTTGTGGAGTTGTTTAAATATGTTTGATTTTAAATATATTAGATTTTAAACTGTCATACAATTTTTTTCATCGATAGTCTGTAATTGGAACCATAACTCTTATTTATTCAAATTGTATTAATATGTAAAGACCAAGTGTACCATATATCATCATTAAATCTTATTTTATAAAACCAGTGAAACTTCAAAATCGTTAAAATTCATGGCTCCCGCCGCATTRCGCGGATACACAACTAGTTTGTTTTATAATATGTTAGTTTCATATGTATTCAACTCACAATAAGAAACTATTTTACGTATATCTTTTGTTTCATAAGTATGATTGTATGTGTGATAGCATCTACCATACCAAGAATATCAATAAATCCGATTATTACAATATAAAAAACATTTCCTCCCCAATGATTTATCCATCTCTTAGGCCCGTCCATTTTTAAAAAATGGTTGTCCGAACTCGGTCTTTTTAACAGTCTATCGGGCCATATTGTCCATTAACAACTTTATTTGAACTTGGTTGATAAACTATATATACCACAGTAATACCATGCCATACCGACTTATTTACTAAAGTTAAATTATTAATACAACATATTTTGATTTTAATTTAAAAATTCTTGTTTTAAATTTCGCTAAATTATAATAYAGAGAAATTTATAAAACTTGATTGAATTCATTTGCCCGACTCTAACAACCTTAACAACTCGTCCACAGTTCCTCAATTGCCACTTGTAGTAGACAATTAGTGAATGTTTGTATTATATGAAAATTGTCTAAATGTTTGTACAGGTAGGGACAAATGGTACAGTACATATAACATATTATGTGAATGATCAGTAGTTTTATTACATCTAAATCTAGTTGGTAAAGATTTCAATTCAAATAAATTTCTAACTTCAACTTCTGCAAACATAGTATTGTATCATATTCGCATCTATTTATTTGATACCAATGTGTTTGAAATCTAGAACTCCTAAAGCACACATGCAAGTCACAATCATAGATTACATATGCAGTTCCAAAAGGCGATCACGAATAGACATTTTCGTAATAAAAAATAGCATATTTTTGACAAAAGGACASAGCAAAAAAGGGGGTCGTTTTCTAAGAGCTACTTAATGAATAGTATTGGTTAGCATGTTAAACCAATAATTGAAGACTGATAATAAGTTAAAATCGGTTTAAAGAATCCACTAATTGCATTTCTATTACAAGCTGTGTAGTTTGAATGGTAGGCAATTCTTCCAAGTTCAAAGTCCAAACCATAAAATAGGGATTATTAGTTTAAGTTATAATCTATTCTTTCTAATCATTCATGACAATATCACTTTTGTAGCTGTCGCTTCACGAGACTTGATGAACATATTGCATCTCTACAACTCGTATCCCTCSTTCCATTGTATCAAATCACATACGGCTAACGCTTTCATTTCTAGATATACGACAATCTCCAATGGAGACATCAAATTTGACACTAGATCACTCTAATGGGGACATCAAATCTAACGCGAAATTTAAGGTTCACCTACGATAACTCCAAGTTGTCTGTGTTATTCATTTGCACCATTTTTACACCAATGGGAAATGATAAAAAGAAATATACCTAGAATCTTACATTTTGACACGAGAWTTAAGAGCCGTTTACCCAAACGCTTAACTGGTAAGCACTTATCGGTAAGATTCAACCCTATCACTTACCTTATAGGGTAAGACTTTAGTCCCTCAAAACGGCATCGTATGCAACAATTTACTTGGTAAGCACTAACCAGGTAAGAGTTGTCACCCTCACTTACCGGGTAAGATTTTCGGTCCTTGTCATCGCTCTTAACGGATAAGATTCTTGGTCATTACAATGTTCATCTGCTTAGATAATGTGATTTGGTAAGCGCTTATCGGGCAAACATCTCCTTCAGCTATCCCTATGTTCGAATCCTTCATCTATCCCTACGTTCAAAGGAGCAGGACTTTGGACTGTTGATGGTAAGAGAATTGGAAACTACAGAAAGCAGTCTCAATCATTCACAGGTGTAATCCAAATTAGAAAAGACTATTCCTAATGACTTTTTGTCCAAGAGACCAAGACGCGTCTACTTGTTTGAATTTTGATTAATCTTATTTCCAGATTAAGGAATGTTTTGACCAGGTTTTAGCATTTTGCGTTTTGGAAGCTTTCTCCTAAAAACTGGAAGTTTGTTCTCCTATATTACTCCTCAAAACTAGGGGTGTTAAAAAGTCGAATTTTTAACGAGCTAYTCGAGCTGATCTCGAACACACACTAAAACTCGGTTAACTTAATGAGTCAAGCTCCATAATACTAATGTTCAACTCRGCTCGTCCAAAAGCTCGATAAGTTTTTAGAGTCAAGTTGAGCAGAGCGAGCCATTCGAGGATACACTTTTTCGACCCAAAAATGTCCGTATGGTCATAAACCATATAATCAAAGTATAAAAATTACTAAAGTCGAGCCAATAAGKGAGCTAATAGACCTCGAGTTCGAGCCGATAAACAAGTATCGACCTCGAACATTGAAAMAATATTCAAGCTCAAGCCCTACTGTGAAAAAGTTATACGAGCTTGAGTCTGGTAATATTTTTTCGAGTCGAGCTCGAATTGTCTACAACTCGTTGACTCGGATCGTTAACACCCCTACTCAAAACTACAGTTTTGATTTTGTACATAGTTTTACAAAAGCTATATGAATACTATTTATCAAACAATTAGCTAGACTGCTASAGTAACTTCTATTATTGACCGACATGAAAATTTTATGGATCAACGTTAATAACAAYAATGAATCTATTGATAACAATGGAAAAATAAGTAACTATTTTTCTTGAGACATCAAATGTTCAAATAAGAATATTAGAACATCTCCTACAGATGCTCTGAAATAGAGAAAACGGAGAATTTGTTCTCTGTATTGCTCCAATAGATGCCCTTATCCGTTCTCTAAAATAGAGAATACTCCAAATATAAATGAATTCTCTAAAACTCTCTATYCAGGACACTGAAATGTTATGTTAATGCTTCCCCATTAGATTTATTTATTAATTTGTTATATAAAGTTTTTTCTTAAATGTATTGGGATAATAAAATTATAAAACATTTTAAATATATAGTTGATGTTGAAATTCTCTAAAATAAAGAATCTGTTAGAGTTGAATTGAATATGTAACTTTTTTTATAGAGATTTTCACTTGTGATTCCTATAATAAATAAATTACAAAAAATCAGTTGGAGATGCTTTTATTGTAATTTTCATGGAGAGCTACTATTTCTAAAATGTTGGTCATCTTAGCTCCTAATTTCGAAATAAGGAGTGAATCTTCTTTTTTCCTATAAACGTACAGCATACGAGAAGGGAGTTGAAGAGGATGGGGGTAGAGGGTTGGCAGTTTAGGCTACGGTTGTATTTTTTGCCTTACTTGCTCTGTGTTACCTGGTGTATGTTTCCACTGCACCTATTCATTATTTTCTATTTTTTCTTAWTTTTCTCGTTCAATGTACACTGTGGGCTAATCTTTGTTCCCTCTTACACTCTGGCACAAGTCAAAGGGTCTTGACGGAAACAATCACTCTATTGTTCGAGATAAAGGTAAGGTCTACCTACATTCGTACATCTCAATTCTCAACAACACCCCCCCTCCCCCGGGACCCTACTCTGAAGTGGGATTTACTGTGTTTGGTTGGTTGGTTTTAATGTCTAACATACCCTTTTTTTCACATTATATTGTAAACTAACCAAATTTGATATTTAATATGGCCAACAAGCTATCAAATGGTATAAACATGTTTTGTTTCACACCCTACATGCAAGAGAGTTGGTATAACACTAGAAACAAAATTAGATCAGTTTAATATACCACATAACCACATATACAAGATAAAATGAAATGACAAATCAAGTGCTTAATATACTCCATATGCATATATACTCAAAAGAAGAAGAAAATGTGAGAAAGGAAGGGCATTTTGTTTATCTTTAGGATACAACTATTTAAGGGGCATCTCAASTTTTTCTTGTATTTGCATCAAAAAGGGAGGACATTGCTGGCTTGCTTTAGCATATCTTGGGCTACCATTTAATTACRAGTCCAACATTTCTTTTCAGCTGTCTCATATATTGTCTAATAGTTCGTGCCTGAGAGTTTTTAATGTAAGTTATGGAACAGGTAATTTTTGGGGCCAAGGTATACATGTTTTAGCTTTAACCAAATTATATATATTTAAACCTTTAGCCGAATTACARACGTTTTAGGCTCTCCTCTTTTAGCCCATTTGGCAACCGATTTTGAAGAATGATTCTATTCAAGTAAATTTCATGTGTTACTTTGTCATTTTAAGACATTTTTTTGTTGTTTTAATTTGCAAGGCTTTTAATATAACATATGGTATGAACTTTCATACTTTGTTCTACTTAATACTCGTGCGGGCGATCTATATTGTTGGTACAGGTGTAACAGGACCTCTAAAAAGATTGAAACAGACATTCGWTAAAACCCATCATCATCCAATTAACAAAGTTTTTAAATTTTACATGGTTGGGTAGGTCTGGGCTCAATTTAATTGGCCCAATCTTAACATATAAGACTGTTGCTATAAGTCTCTATAAACCACCCATCAAGACCCAGAATTTGTCTGTTTTTATGACTAAATGGTTCTACAAATCTTATGAAAATAACGTATGTACATTAAATTACAGAAAAARAACACGTAAAAAATGACAACACTTTAGGCGTTTTTCGGCATTTAATATTTTTCATTTTATGGGTTACATTGAAGTGACCCATCAAATGAAAAATGGAGAATGAAGAAAAACAAACCTTATTCTGGCTGAGTTTCATTTTGAGGCCTGGGAATGCCTTTGAGGACGTCCCTCAGAGCATAGTAATGGCTATCACATTTGTGGTCTGCAATCAAGTTGTTTGACAGTAGTATCCTCTGAAAATGTTCCCCTTTATGTCTCTTCCAAAGTGTGAAGTAATTCACTCTATTGCCATTGTGGTTTGCTTCCTTCCGTTTCAGAAAATAAACTGTACCCGGAACAAACAGTTCCTCCGGGGGAACAGTCAGATCATGTCTTTCCTCGTTAACGTCATCGGCTTTTGTTTCATCTGSTTCGGAGATCGTAGGGATATTACTTGGTATCACAATAGAATCTTTTCTATCAGGAATATCTGTTAGGGTAAGATAAAAACGGTAATGGAGTCAATCGAACAACATAACTTTCATGAGAGATTGAAAAAAATGCAAATATCTCAATTTCATAAGAGGGTGTAAAAATGTAAAGTGAGAAGCTAATAACATCAAGAATTTGTATGTATGACTGGTCAATTACAGAGGAAGAAAATTCGAGAAGGACCTAGGTAACAAACAGGGTTTAAGGCCATGTTTGCAAACTGGCTGATAAGGTAGTTATTAGCAAAAAAGCAAGTTGTTGCTGATAAGCTAGCCGATAAACTAGTCATGTTTGGTAAAAACTAGTTGATAAGCTATATGACAATGTAAARTGACCCGAAAGGATATGTTAAACAATTAGTTGAAAAAAATATAAGCTAGTTTAAGTCATTTTAAATTGTCATTTTAATTTCAGCTAGTTTTTACCAAACTTGACTAGCTATCARTTGGTTTATCAGCTAACAGCGAGCTTATGAGCCAACAACTAGCTTATTAGCCAAACAGCAAGCTTATCAAGCCAACAGTAAGCTTATCAAGCCAACAAGAAGCTTATTAAGTCAACGGCTGGCATACAACTAGTTTGCCAAACATAGCCTTAGGGGCTGTTTGGTTGGGTTTTCATCAAGTCCTCAATGGATAAAGTTGTCTGTGTAGATTAAYCTGTCTTWATAGATTAGGAGGGTTTTTGTGTGGGAGGGTTTTCTAATAGATGGAAGGGGCGTGTTTTTAAATTGGTACAGGCAGGTATGGGAAAAACGTAGCTTTCTGCACATCCTCAGGTTTTAAAGCATCTGGTCACAGCTTTRTCAAATAACAATCTTATTTAAAATTTTAAATATATAACATAGCAATATCCTGCATGCAAGATAGAGCTTACCAATAAATTTTGTCTGGCTTCCAAACTTGGTATAATCAGCTAGCTTTCTAGCTACATCTTGTACAGAAGATACAACCTGCTTTGCATTGGTAACTAAATCTAAAACACTTCTCCAGTCCTCCTTCTCAAACATGGTTTTCCTGAGAAGATCAAAAGCTAGATTAAACCCAAATATCATCCTAATGAATTTACTATTTGCCCTAATCTTGTGATCCCCACCAATTATCAGTAGAAAACCTTAATTATCATTTGTGGSCAAGGGGTGAGATGGATCTGCAAGAAAGAACTTGTCTTCTTTCTACGTGTGGGTTCCCTTTTGAAGGGTTTGCAATTCGTTGTAACTAAACSATTTCCTGCTTTAAATGATAAATAAACAAATACGCTTCTAGCTCTATGTTGCGAGGATATTAAGGTAAATATTGTTAATACACCACGGGACCACTCAGGATGGGAGCTTACCTTTATTTTACCAGTTGTATATCCTTCCTATTAACGTAATGAAGAAAGAACAATAAATTTGAATACACAGTGACAAAACAAGAATATTCTGCAGATAAAATGGAAAAACAGAAGCCTCAGTGAAGTACCTTCGCATCACTACTTGTCATCTTCCTTACCCAACCGAGCAAGTTTGACCAAAAAAAACATCCACTTAGGCCAACATCTGAACCCCCTAGTTCTCGTCATGTCAATGTTTTCTAGAATCAGGTAGGTTTTGTTATGCAGACATGATTGGACYGGAGTAGACATGAAGAACTAATCAGGACAGACCTGACTGGACCAGACAGGACAAGCTGTCTATCTGGTGTTTGGTACAACTAGTGTTGGATAGAACAGGACGAGACAAGTTGCCCCTAAAAATTGTTTGACGACTTATTACATCATGTAGTAGTTATAAATGACAAAAATCAAATAATTTTAAATAAATTTATTAGAAACAATTTTTCACAATCTTCATATACACAAATACATGCATGATACATATATCATAGTACAAATTTTGAATGAATAGTATGAAATAATTGATGGTGATTCCAAAAAGCTCGGTTCATACAAAGAAAAAACTATGGCCTACACAACCAAAACTCCCAGCCAAGACCCACCATCCTCACTGCCAAAAGGGGCCTTTCTTGGCCAAATCTGGAAATCCTGATTGCTACTATACAACTCATCTCATTAATAACAACAAAACCCAACAAAAATCCAACTATAAGAATGATATGACCCTAATTTGTTGGGTGGATCTTTTTTTAACTTTGATTAATCTAGGTACAAGCTGTCACAAGGCATCAGTTGGTGGTTCCTTTGGCACTTAGAATATCTGCTCATGTAGCATGATTACCATTTGTATTCATAAGCCCTTAGGTTATTTTTTCTCTTACATTGTGAATTATGTAAACACAAGCAACACATGAGACCAATGTTTTGAATTTTTGCTATGTTAGAAAGAGTCTGCTGGTATTCTTGATCGTTTCCAAAGTAGGTCGYTAGTGGAGATGTGCTATTTGCAATGCAAGTGAAGCTTTATTAGAAAAGTCTCTAGTGGCAAATGTTACTTACCAATCAGTCCGAAGAATTTCATTCCTTAATCTCATCAGAGTAGCTACACTTAGCCTTGGGATTATATCATCCTGTATGTCAGGAACCAAGGGTGAAAAAACAGAAAATTAAATTGACATCGGTACAAAAAAAAAGTTAATTGGCATATATAGATACTTTAGCAATCCACAAACTTCAGTAAGTGTTCATGACATGAATACTCAAATAATATACCAACCTGCATACAAACGGTTGTGACAAAATCAGAGCAGCTGTCCGCAAGCTCTCTAGAAACACAAGGTGGTGTGCCATATCCAACCGCWGTAACAATCTCAGGACTAAAACCCAACTCCTCCCTTGTCTTTTTGCGAAGTATTATAGCTAGCAGAGAAGCAATCGCACCTCCAAGTGAATGGCCCACCAGCCTTAACCTAAATCCCTGTAGATAGATTAGTCTTACCACAGTACAAAGAGGGTACTTTTGGTACACTAGACATGACAGAACATGGATCATTGTACCACRTTTGGCAGGACTTTTATGTGGAACAAAGTGGAACAAGCTTGTTCCACCCYCACCCCATGGAACAAGGTGGAACAGACTTAYATTTTACCAATATAACCTCAAAATAAAAGTTGATTCTCTTCTAAAACATCAAATATGCCTCCCTCTTCACATTTTATTCATTCTTTAAATTCTATTTATCGTATTTTATGTTATTTAACCTTTCACTTTATTGTCCTCAAAATACTATTTTTACACGGTTTCTATATTTTCTTAATCTATGTAAATTATTATATATTAATGATAATAAAATAATATAGAAAATGTATAAAATAAAAATTGGAAACTACATAAACTTTTTATTTTGGTGTCATTTCAGTTGTCTTAACGAAAACTTTTTAATCATATATTTTGTTATAAAAAAATTATTTTATTATGATTTACATAAATTAATCAAAATATATAAAAGATATAAACAACTCATTAAAGGTTAATTGGTCATATCATCTGTYAAGCCATGTCCAGTTATGYCTTACCAAACGCTGAACAACTRTTTTGTCCTGTCTGGATTCCAAACGCACCCGGAAGGAACAAGAGGTAAGCAAAGCCAAAAATAGAACTGCCATCATCAATAAATAAAAGAAGGAAGAATTCACCACCTCATGCTTCTCAAGGTACTTTTTAATGTTTCCTAACTCATGAGTGAGAAACCAACGAGCAGCCTCGTCAGTGCCAAAATGAGTTGAATAGCCTTCAACATTCACTTCCTTGTCGCTCGAAGAAACAATGTCAGTGATGAGGTCGTACACAGTATGTGTTCCACGAATTCCAAAAATCACWAGTTTATTGCGAATATCAACCCCAATGTAGTATCCTGGTCTCAGCATACTAGAGTTTTTCACAAATTTCACAATGTTGCTTTCTCGAAGCATGCTGTTTTTGGCCAGGCTAGCAGCACTATCCCTATATGCCCCCTTTGCTAGTTCTACATGGTATATAAGATCCTGGACCTACAGAAAAGTAGAGATCAAATAAGAATGATGTGCAGGGAACTGCTTGAAGAGGTGCTATGCTTCAAATCGACTCGGATGTTGGCATATAGTTCTGTAAATTGCAAGGTTCCAATTAATTACCACTGCGTCAGAGGAAAYCTTTACACCTTTAACATCCTCGAATGGATTTGTAGATGCTTGCTGAAGGTAAATAAGGTATAAACCTATTGTAAGATCACTCAAGCTCCAATCCTGGACTCCAAGTTTACTCCGYTGAATGCTTGCAAGGATTTCTGCAAGCGACCGACTGCTAGGTGGAATTTTGYTTCCATTTCCATTTCCATTTCCTGTGAAATAGAAGACAGAATCAGCGACTGCAAGTTTTCGAATAGACTGCAAAAAAGCATAAGAGTGCTGACAAAAACCCCAGGAACAAACTGAAGTTGCAAATACAGATGAAATCCCATGGCCTCCCCTTCGAAATAAATAAAGAAACATATAATGATAGCCAGAACAACCTCTTAAGCTTTTAACAAATAGAATATATACAAATCACCTTGGTCCAATCAACTATACAGACTTATATGATCTCCGTAGTTGTAATGCAAATGAAAAGACATATTGGAGATACAAGCGATTAGATAAAAACCAAACTACAACAGACACAGAAAATTTTAAGCAAACCTGTGGGAAGAGGCCACCTACACAATTGTAGGGCTGGTTCAAGTGCTTTTGTGAGCCAATCAAGCTCTAACTTCCACTTGTTGTTGGCTGCATCATCTTCATCAGAACTGTATTTGCTAAGCCCGGAGCTCGACTCCATTTGGTTGTCTTGTTGAGATATAGGTGATCGTGATACAGTTGCATCCTTTGCATCTTTTGTGTTAGGATTTTCTACCTTTGACCATTGTGATTGATAACGGCTTAGTGCATTATATACATACCGATGATACAATTCCCTTTTTCTTATCAAATTGAAACTCAAATCTGCATCACCAACATGAAACAAGACAAAGAAATTACAAAGTCAAAATATGAGCCTAAAATCACTGTTTTAGTATTACACAACAGACTGAAGCATGCTTGCAGAAAATAGGTCCTTCATTTTCAAGAGTCATTTGGTTCAAGTAAATATTTGTATCTAAMGAACATCATGGCAATCATTAGTTTACCCTCAAACTCACCATTTTCGTTTTTTTACAAAGAGAGAATGTATTTTTAACTCACTACTCGCATGCTTTTTTCTAGAAACAACTTGTGGTTAGTTTTTTTTTCTTATGGAAGGGTGTCYCAGGCTATGCCCAGACTAATCCCSGCAAATTGTGACCRCAAGACATCAGCCCTGATAAACTCAGTAGCCACAATGTTGTGGACGCCTGGAATTTCTGCGCCGGGACATTCCACCACATCCCCTGGGMATCAACCACTATGCCACAACCCTTGTGGTAAGTTTGATGGTGGCTTTGGTGGCAAATATTAGCCTATAGATCTTCCTTTGTCTAAATTCTCAACTCATTCCACACACCAAAWAGAAGGATCCCAATTCACCACTCTRTGCTCTAAAGAATCATCATCCTTGAAGAATATCATTATTGAAATCTTTACATTTTAGGAAGGGGTAATGCTATATGCACCACTYTTTACGTCAAAWTCAGGTCAAATCATGCATTGGAAATGTAAAACGTAAGTATTCGTGTTGATGTAGGTGAGGAGAAAATCAGTAGGTAGGGACGCATTTAGTAATGTAGAGGAGTGCATTTAGTCCATCACTCCATCCCTTTAGGAAGACTTCAACTTCACACCTTTAAAATAATTTAGAAGTTCACCATGATTAGGTTTTTCTCTTGAGYAATCAAAACCCCCCATTCTAAAATCATAGTTATTGACCGTTGAAAGTTATACTGTTATATCATATACCTTTACCTTAAACTGATAACATAAATTAGTATTTTTAGCACCAAAATTGTTCATACTTGTAAGATGGAGGAAGGATGCATACTCCTCCCACCCAGATCTTTTTGAATTTTAGCTTTATCCCAAAACACATGAGACAATGACTGGTTAGCCTCTAATCCAGACACTTTTTTGTATTTTCTCTTACTAATGTGTTTCATTTGAACATCACCTTCAATTTCAAAAAACAAACAAACAAATTGTTGATAATAATGACTAATCAATTTCAGTAAACCAATATGTTTTCTTCAAACTTTGCATTAAATAAAACACTTCAATTATAAAAATCTACACAAACACATGTTCAGAAGATGTCCAATAACAATTGTCACTCATTCCTTTTAAACAAGATGCTCATAACAATTCTCAGAGACTTAAACCTCAAGTTTATTTCGACGAAGGGCGCAATTGGATCAATCACTAGCTCGATAAACCATTAACGTACGATTCATCATAAACCGCACCTCATCCGTATGAATAAAAATCATCAAAATAATTATAAAGCAACGACTCATACAATGCAATTTAAAGCATAATTCAATCAATAAACATAGGATTCATAATGAAAATTATCAGAACGTGAGAAACTAGTAATAGYACATCTATAGGAGCAAAAACAAAGGTCAAATGAGAAGAAATGCGTACCTATGTTAAGCAACAAGCGCTTCATGAATTTGCTAGCGGCCATTGATGGCTACAGAAAGCAATATGGAGYTTCGAGTTTCAGGGGGTGGGATTTGTCTTAAAAAAGAGCCGACTTAAGTTATGAACGGGTCAAATACTTTGCTGGACTTGGATGGATCTAAGGATCGCCAAAAACGAGTCTGGGCCGGGCCCATACYAGGCCCATTTTTACTATCTCTATTTGGATTTGGGCCATCAAAAGTGGGCCGCTCTAAGTGGTTAGGGCGTTTGTTTCTTTTTTGAGTAAAACTACATTTTTCGTCCCTGTGATTTATTTATAATTAAAAATTCGTCCTTGTACTTTTGAAAATTCGATTTTTGTCCCTGTAAGTTGTAAATGATTTCTTTTTTCGTCCCAAATGGATGAGGTAGTTCATTATGATTGGTCAATTAAAACTTCAAAACCAAAACATTCGGTTCTACTATCGATATGTATTGAGAAATAAGGCATGGGTTGGGATCAYGTGAGACCAAGGGTTTTTCGTGAGACCCGTAAGACCAATTTATATTTATTGATCAACTTTATAAGCTAATGATCTAATAGTCTAAAGTTGCACGGTGACAATTTTGTGATTATGAATGTTCAGATTGTAGATCTAATTCAAAGGTTGAGAATTGGTCTTACAAGTTTTACGAAAAACCTTTGGTCTCACATGATCTCAAGTCAATAAGGCATACTCCACAAAACTAGATGATATATGTTAATATTATGATGAGATTATTATAGATATTTTAATAACTAATAAAATTATGAGAACCTTAAAAATTAGTGTATCATGTATTATTTCATATGATTTTTTCATCTATGACTAAGATTTAGAATATTGATTAACATATATTTATTACACAATGTGAATCTTTTTAATCTGATTGTTAAATAAAAGTTAAACATAAAAAAAATTCACATTACGAACCACATACATATGAAGTAACATATTGTAAAACAAATATATATTCATCAATACGTTAAATGTTGGTAGTTTGTGAGAAAAAATCATGTGAAACAATACTTTAATACAAAAGTTCTTATTGTTATCACAATATTTGGAGTTTTCAATGATTAAACATCTTATATATATATATATATATATATATATAGGGGAACGATCAAATGCAAACCACTCAATTTGTACAAACCGTGCAAACCGCATTCAACCAATCATAATTTTTCATTTTGTTCATTTTTTTTTTGTAATTATGAGAGGTTGATTAATCATTTTTATTGTGGAGAGTGTTAATCA